GAACGAAACTAAGGCGTGAGGATTCTTTCAGCACCCAAGGCAAGGCGAGCCAAGCAACCGTCCCAAAGCCGTCCCAAAGCGAAGCCCATCGACAAAGGTACAAAGGAGGAGTTGAAGGTGGCAGGGAGAAGCGGGGGACGGCTGGCTGGCCGGTCGCTCGGCTCACCTTGCCTTGTCATGCGTGCTGATGCCGGTACCGGGCCGCGGATCATTTTGTGATGCCGGTACCGGGCTGTGGCACAAAAAAGGTTGGGGGCCACTGCCTTAAAGTAACGACACCTTCAGAGTCCCTTCTTGTGCTGAGCTCAATTATATTAGATTCAGATAGTGGAAATGTTAGCATAGATACTTCCTCAGCTGTGAAGTCAATTTCACTGCTGTGCGAAAACTAACTCACCTCAAACTTCTACAGATGTTCGTTCTAAGATAAAATGGAAGTCATCCTAAACTGAATGCAAAAAGTTTAGAATTTATTAGAATATGCCATATGTAAATGATATATTCAGAGAAGAAGAAGCTTCTTGGATGAGAAGCGAAAAGTCTTCAAAGAAAAACCAGACAGTCCAGTTGCCACTTGAAATAGCACCTTTGGGACATATGTAAATACCTGTATGTAACAGTTATTGCACCTAATCTCTCTTGTGTGGTGCTGGGCTTCTGTGGTCATTCAATTATAAGTCCTCTTTAATAGAATAGAATCACTATTGAATGTTTAACATTACCTAGAGATACTGTTTTTAAAGTACAGGTTCAGAAGATTTGCAGGATTTGCAAGATTTGAAGGAAAGTGAAAAGGGTAAAAGATACAAAGTTGTGATTTCCATGCGTTTCCAGAGAGTCATTTGGCATTAATTCTGGAATGCCCCTCTGCCACCAATCTGAGTCACTGCTTGAGGAATGACCATTATAATCCTGTTTGAAACATTCTTTCTGAAGGTTTACAGTCAATTGCTTATAAATATATGTTTGCTACCAAAAATGTGTCTGTGTTGTACAAAACACACACACTAGATTATGAGCTTGAAAAAACTTTAGAACTTAAAACATGCTTGATAACATTCCTAGAACATATTAAAGGCATAGGTTTTTTTTTTAAAGGAGATTTGGAATGACAGCAGTATACAGTGTACATTTTCCATACTAATTTGATATATGCTAGTAGAGAGTGGTATGTCTGGGCATTTCAACATGAGATCTGAAAGCAGTTCTCAGCCTCTGGGATTTCACAGGGTCAGCTAAATTCGTGGCTGAATCCACTGAAGTCAGGTAATCTCAAATGCAAACAAACCCAAACTCCATTCATTCTTGCATTCATTCATTCTCTCTGCAACAGTGTGATTCTGCAAAGCAGGTGGGTAGTTTCAATCCAGTAATCCTGGTGGAAGATCACTTCCCTCCCAAGCTTCAGCCACCCTTAACTGTCAGCAGACTTTTATTAAGTTTATACCTTTAAAGGAAAAAGGATAAAGGTGGGTATCTTTATGCATGGTTTGCAAGAACATAATGATTCTGCCATTATTGTCTCCCATTATTCTGTCCAGGTACCTAAAATATAATAGATAAGAACCCAGGTACAGGATGGAATGCATGTTTCAGTGTAACATACAAAGCAAGAAGCAATTACAGTAAGGGTCTGGGTATATGAATTGTATTTGTGCATATAAACACTATTTCAACAGAAGAATAAAAACTGGCAACATTCATTCAGAAAATAAGTCAAATGATAACATCAAATTATATTTTGTATTCAACAATAACACTGCTTAGAAACATACACACCCATGGACATTTCCACATATGTTTAGTCATATAACTAGAAACAAATATTCATTGTTGATATTGTGTGTCGTTGCTTAGTTTTGAGACAAGTACAAATCACAAAAAGATTCAAGTGTAGCTAGTAATGGCAGATTAGGAGCATCATATTGTGAAACAGAAAGCTCTGGCACTGAAAGAAGAATCTTTGTTGCAGAACAGTGGGCAGAAAAGCTTACATAAGCAGAGGCCAAGGTTGTTGGGCTCAAAGGCAAACATTGTATGAAAACCAATGTTAAGGATGGATTGGAGCTGGTAACCAAACTTCCCCAATGCAAACAGACAACAAGCTCCAGAATTCCTACCTGTCCAAAATATCTAGAAAGCATCCAATGGAGGAAGAAAGGTTTAGCAGCTATTCTAGCACAGCCAGAAATTATAAGCCAGAGTTTTATAAAATTTGAAGAGCATTAACATATAACCTTTTAACATAATTTGTTAATAGTAAACATAATTTGATGTGATGAGTATAAACTATGATTTATAACTAAAGTAGCTATTTTCATGCCACATTAAGCCAATAATAAATAAGCCATATTATGGCTTGCTGCAGTATGTGAAGCTTCCCCCAGATTTAATACAAGTTAAATAAGATTTAAGAGTGGGTTCTATCATGCATTGATACAATTAATGCTCAATTACAATGTTAACTGGGACTGGAATTTCTGTCACTGGGCAATACAGTCTTAAAATGTGATGTCACATGACCACATTGTTTACCAACAGCAATTCCAGCACTCCCAGTTTCCATTGTAATCCCAGGACCGCATGACTGGTTTAACAAGGACCTCACCCGAGAGTGATATAGGAAGAGGTGAGAGTCTCAGACAAGCAGTTGGGCAGGAAGGCACCACAGAAGCCACTACCATCAGGTGCTAAGGTCTGCAGAATGGCAGGTGCAAAAAAAAGCATTGGAAGTGACTTGCAACCTCCTGTGGCTTTCCCATTGACTGCTTGTGGGAAGCTGGCAGGGACGGTCGCAAATGGCAATCCAATGACCATGAGAGGAAGCAACATAAGTGCAATCCAGTCGCCAAGCAATCTGATCATGATCACATGACTGGGAGGGGGTACTGGGATGGCTGGAAGTTTAAGGACTAGTTGTTTAGCACCATAGTAACTTTGAAGAGTCATTGAATGTATAGTCATACCAGTAATTGTATAACATAGGGCAGTGATGGTGAACCTTTTTGTTGTGGTTTGCCGAAAGCGCATGTGTGCCGGCACTCGCAATGCAATGTGCCCTGCCTCCCCTGCGCATGCGTGCGCAACACACCCGCCCCACCCCTTACCTGCATTGCGCATGCGCACGCCTCCCAGCTGATTTTTGGCTCGTTTTAGGCCATTTTCGCCCCCCTGGAAGCTTGAGAGAAGCCTCTGCAGCCTCGGGAGGCTGAAAAAATGGGCCCGTTTCGGCACTTCTGGTATTTCCGGAAGGCCTGTTTTTTGACCTCCCGAGGCTGCAGAGGCTTCCCTCAAGCCTCCGGGAGGGCGAAAACATCCTCAAACAGGCCAAAAATCAGCTGGGAGGTGCACACAAGTGCAGTGCAGCTAAGTTTGGCTGGGGCTTGTGTGCCCGTACAAATGGCTCTGCATGCCACCTGGTTCGCCATCACGGATATAGGGATTTTCCTCATCACTGTTTTCACACACACACACACACACACACACACACACACAAAGCAGTTTAAAATCAGTTCCTTAATATCTTCACTATATATATATGTATATGACCAATAGGAGGGTAGAACAAATACTGCACAATCTGTTTCCTGCCACCTGAAATACCATGCTGTTTCTTCCACATTTTTTACTACAGGTAGTCCTTGACTTACAACAGTTCATTTAGTGATGACACTGAAAAAGTGACTTATGACTATTTTTCACACTTACGACCAAGGCAGCCTCTCCGAGGTCATGTGATCAAAATTCAGACGCTTGGCAACTGACTCACATTTATGACCGTTGCAATGTCCCCGGGAGGTCATGTGATCACCTTTTGTGAACTTCTGACAAGAAAAGTCAATGGGGAAACCAGATTCACTTAACAACCATGTTACTAATTCAGCAACGGCAGTGATTCACTTAACGACTGCGGCCAGGAAGATTGTAAAATGGAGCAAAATTCACTTAACAAATGTCTCACTTAGCAACAAAAATTTTGAGCTCAGTTGTGGTTGTAAGTCAAGGACTACCTGTACATTAATGTTTATCTAATAGTTTACAAAAAGCATTCATTTAGTTGCTATGGTAGCAATCTATAACTGTAGAGGAGACAGTGGAGTATAAAAAACATATGCAAAATCTCCCAAAGATTGTCTTTGTTGCATTTGTAAGTGCCTGAATTTGGCAATTTGCAATTGGGTGCTTTTCTTAATCACTGTGGCCATGTTTGCCTATTGCTGCAGCAATTGGGAAGAAAGAGAGAAATTAACAACAATGCACACAGGCAAACTTGTGTTTGGAGAAAGACTCCAGTATGTGGAAGGATGGATGAAGCAAATGTTCCTGGCCAATGGAAAAATGGACTATGACCAGGTCTGCAGAATCACAGTAAATCAAAATAAAATAGTAGTTTTGTTGAAGGTCCAATAAATCAAATCATTTGATCCAGCTCTCCTAACAGATATTTAGAGATTGCTCTGGGCCACAGCCAATCTTAGAATTTGGCACAATCCTGATGAACAGTGCTCTTGTTTACTGGTAAGGCCCGTATACGCTAGGAAAAATGCTAAGCAGTGCAGTCTAATTTCCCTTAAACCAGTTAAATCATGTATAATCTAGATATTATCAGTGATACACTAGATAAGAAAAATAATTGTCTGGATTACACAATTGGATGTTACTCATCTCCTTCTTTCCCAACTTGTAAATTTTATTCAACCACTATTTTTTTTTATTAGGTGCCTTCAATATAGATTCTATCTTGCTATGAGAAAGAATTTCTTTGCAATAAATGATGTGATAGACTATCATAATTGCAGAACGTATTGCATATTCCTACCTTAAGTGCCTAAAAAGAGTCATATCCTAGTGTGTGGCTTTGAAATTAAAGGTTGCCATCCTAGTTTGATCACTTAAGAGCATTTATCTGGAGATTGCATCCTTTCAATTGCTAGGGTTGGGCTTTAGCAGGTACCTGCCCAGTTTAGTTTACAACCAGATAAGCTTCCCATACCACACTAAATACAAGGAGCTGTTGAATGCAGATGATGCATCTCTGGAAATTTCTGTAAGGTTTGTAATGGGCGTTGGGCACGGATTAGGCCATAGACTGTGAATGGCTGGCAAAGCAGGGCTTGCTTCTCCTTATTGTCTCCTTGCTGGGTAGAGAATGCTATTTTTCCCCCTCTGTCTATTGGTTTATTTAGATCAGTTCAGATGAGTTGGCCTTTGACTTCTCTAACTCTCAGGCAGTAGAACCCTGAAGTCTGATGTATCTAGTGGGCATCTCTGGAGAAAATGCCCTAGAGTAAAACAGTAGCTGTAAGACGAGAGTTTGTGTCATTTCTAGAAAAAAAATCATGTAATTGATACTTGACCAAAAAGGCTTTATTTGGGGTATATATATAGCACAAATTCCATCTCAGTGACAGAGTTTAGAAATGATTTATTTGAAAACTCAGTTCCACATTTATAACATACAATGAATTGTGATTTAAAGCTAAGGGTTGAGAGATTAATATTTTAATTGTTAGCTTGACCCTAGAGTCGGACACGACTGGACAGGGGAAACTTTTACTTTTTAAAAATATGTAGTTGAGTATATGATTTTATTTTTTACATAGAGCTTAAAGTACTTCTACTGTAGTGTTTGTTACTAATTTACATTAAAATTGATCCCTGAATTTGGGGATGATGAAAAAAAAAATCTGTAACAAACTGAGAAAATGTAGTTGGATTATCTGTTCAGCTAATTAAAACAAGTAGCTTTTAGCTTTAAACTTATATTTAACAAAAACATGTATTTTTGAATTAACACAATTGCCTGGTTCTCACAATATACTGAACTATTAAACAAGCCATAGTTGGGCTTGCACAATATATTGAATGACGTACTACATCATAGCTTAGCCTAATATATTATGCAAATTCTATGAGTAAGGCTTCTTGGTTGACTCAAATGCTGTCTATTTTGCTATAAAAGACTGAGAACAGTGTCATTCTGATAGGCTCTGGAGCAGGGGTGTCAAATTCAAGTCATTATAGCAGTGTCGCTTGACGTATCGGGACTTTTCCCCCATTCGCTAAACTGGGTGTGGGCGTGGCCAGCGTGACACATCCGGCCCACAGGCCAGGAGTTTGACAGCCCTGCTCTAGAGTCTAGACCAGCTATGCTGGCTGGAGAATTCTGGGAGTTAAAGTCCACAAGTCTTAAAGTTGCCAAGTTTGGAGACTTCTGGTTTAGATTCTAATGATCTTTTTAAAGGGTTCGCATGCCCTCCAAGAAACCAAGTTAGGACACACTGGTTTTGTTGTGTTTGCATTCTTCTATCAGAGTCACAAACCATATGTCTATGGCAATCTGCTTCTCCAAAGGACTACCTAAGGAAGCCAGTATGCTATGGTGATTAAGGTAAGACTAGGACTTGCGAGAACCTACTCTCTGCCATGAAAACTGACTTGCTGACTTTGACCCGTCACTGACTCGCAGCCTTGCTTATTTCACAAATATGTTGTGATGACAAAATTAAGGAAGATTCTTCTATCAGTGTTTTTCCTGGAAGAAAAGCCTGGTGTGAATCTAGTGAATAAACTCAACAACCTCATGAGCAGCAAAACGTAACTCTAATGAGCTGTTTAATAGTATCATCAGGTGGAAAGGGCAAAGCCAGCCACACAGTATATAAGAAATACGATTTGCATAGCAGTTTCAATCATCAAGGAGATAACACATCAGCAGAATCATTACAGCTCTATAACTAGAAATGTTTTGAGAAAACACAGGAATGATAATTTCCCTCTTCCTACTCAATATCTAAGTCCTATCCCTAAAGATGGGGAAAACTTGCAAAAGAGATGGGACTGTTATACTTTTGTACATGTAAATGCAAGCACTTAAATGTGCTTGTGAGAAACTAATTATTTTGCCTCTCCTCTTCATTTTTCTGTCATAGTTTCCATGGCAATATAGCTGTTTGCTTGGTTCATCTTTGTTTTACAAACCAAACCCTGAAGGTGTTGACTTGTTAAACACTGAAGGAGAAAAAGGCCTAAAGGGGAGAATGATTCCATCAGGTTTCAAGCAAGAAAAAAAAGGATTATAAATTCCTTCACAAGCCTATTATTGGCTGGTTTTAGAACAGCCTGAGATTGTATATAAAGATCCAACTTCCATAAACAGATAATTCCCATACTGAATCATCAATGCAGAAAATCATTTTAAAATGCTGTAACCTCTGAGGTTAGAAAACTCAATGGTAAGGATTCAAGGTCATTTTCCTTCTTCCAGTTAAACCTTTTCCAGATAATTTTCAGACTACTATAACATTTATTTCTGAGCAGAATGTGAGAAATTGCATGTACTGGGGATGGGTTCAGGATATTTAAGAGTTGGTCTTTCATCTTATACTCATCCTGTAGCTGTCTTTAGAGTTGCAACTGATACTTCTTAAGTAGCAGTGCGGGTTCTGGAATTCCCTTTCTTGGGACTTGGCTTTCATCTTTGAAGTGTTTGTGTTACGGACGGTATTTTTGTGTGTGTCATACTGAGATTTTGACTGAAATAGATTTCTTTATAGATTGCTTGGTTTTACTGTATACTGCTTATATACTGTACTATCATGCATTTTTTTTTTGCTGTTCAGGCCTGTGTTTTTACATCAGTTTAAATGCATTGGTTTAAATGCATATTTCATGTTACATATTATAATACCCATATTGTTTCCTAAGAACTGTCTCTTTCCTCTTGTTCAAAAGCTTCCACCATTCTGCAGTTCTTCCCCGTTCGTCTTAAAACTGACTCAAAAATAACCTGCCTTTTTGTGCTTGCAACAATTCTTGCAGCCTTTCAGTTCCATCGCTTACCTCTCCCCTCTCAATCCAGATTCAGATGCTCAGCAATCAAAGAGTTTACCTGTGGGTGGGTTGTAAAAAGTCAGTTCAGATTTCAAAGGCTTGCATATGTAAGTATTTAAAAACCTGTAGGGGCTGCTTCAGCTGTTCCCTTTTTTGGCACCTTATCTCCAACCCTTGCATCCCTAGTGAAGTTTGGATTTGAAAACCATTGTCAGAGAATTTTGCAAACCAGTCTGCTCCTGCAGGTATCCTGGTTGAAGGCAACTGCAAGACAGCAAAACATATTTGGCACAGGTTAGTGTTAAAATAGTTTGTTGAAATAGTCTGTTCCTTCAAGGAGCTGGTTCTTTTTCCTTGCTTTGTAAAATTTTGAATCCTGTGAATGTTGTTACAAGCTTATGGCTTCTTTAAAAGCTATTGCATGCTGAGATCATTAATGAAATTTACTTACAGATGTTTCTAGTTGGCCTGCATGTGGTTTGGGATTGGAGGTGGTAAGGTTTAAATGCTTGCCTTCTCCTCCTTCATCAGTACAGAATCAGAGTGATAAACTTAGAAAGACTTCTCCTTGGAGGCATTTATATTAATTCCTGTATTGAATTTTGGGCTGAAATCTGGAGGAAAATCCTGTCTCTTCTTTATTGTTAATTAGTTTGGAGTCGTTACATTTCTCTAGCTCAGTGTTTTTCAACCTTGGCAACTTGAAGAGGTTTAGAATTCAGTTCCCAGTATTCCCCAGGCATCATGCTTGCCAAGAAAGAAAAAAAACTGCTTTAGCCCAGCCTGAGACCCTGAAAGTTTGAATATTATAGGCAATGCATTGAATATTGATACCCATTCTAAAAATAAGCAATGTATTTAAGCAATGTATTGTATTATATGCTGTGTATTATTTAATTGCTGAACAATAAGTATGAATGAAATAAGGCTATTTGTAGTCTAATCTACACATATCTAGCATGACAATATACTTAAATTCATTCTAAAATTACGTTTGCAATCTTTTAATGTTACCTTCAGAATCAGGTGCTGCATTTGCAATTATAGGCTAATGACAGTACTTATTCCCTGAATTGTTTCCTGGAATTGGTAGAAACTCTGTTGAATCTTTCTCTTGAGGCCATTTTCCAAGGGAAAACTACTGTACATTATAGCAGATTCAGTAAAGATTATGCTGTATCCCTTGGTCTATCAACTGCCACGAGAATCTTGGTGATTTCATGTAGGACTTAGACAATATAAATCTTAAAGAATTAAATGTTTTTATTTACTGAGTTCTCCCATTAATTGATCAGCATGTGGAAAACTTACCTGTGCCTAAGGTGATCAGTTGGATTCCACACATTAGGATCATTCTAGACTTTCTGACTCTGAGCAAGAAATTTCTGCAAGTTTTGTATAGGCTCTAACATAGTTGCACGCAGACCAAACTTGCTAACCAAGATGCTTATCACATTATTTCCATCTGCAAGATATTAAGACTCATCTCACCTAAGAGCAATGTTTTGGTTTGAAGATCAGTCTTCTCTCATTCATATTTTCCTTTCTTCCATCTCCCAACTGCTCCTGGGGGAAGGAAGGAAGGAAAGAAAGAAAACACTCAGGGTCTTTTGATATTTGTTTATGGGTTGAATCTCAGTCAGTGGTCAGTTGTACAACAGCCAGACTTTAGTTAAGGAAAAAAAAAATTGGCTCAGCATTTACTCATTAATGAAGAACTCATTTAGATAGTCTGGGAAGTTGCCCTCCTTCAAAGGCTTTACCTTCCATTGTTAATCCAAGGAAGTTTGATTGTTGTCCCCCCAGGGGAAGGCATCTGATTTTTCAATTCTTCTTGGAATAACAAGTGGGGAGGGAAAATCTCTGAAAAGAATGTACCAGATGAGAGAAGCATTGCTGGATCTGGACAAGGTAAGGGTGTGTGTGTGAAAGATTAAATCAGACCCCCCTTCAAAGTATAGTAAGAGGTCTCTTTTAGAGTTCAGGGGTTTGCTCTATTGCCTTGAAGGAGCAACTAATTAGATCAAAATCAAAAGGGAAAGGGCTACAGCTGTGCCCCAAGGTTGTAAGAGAAGATCTTCTGCTGAAGGCTACATATTTTGCCAAATGCAGAACTATCAATAAAAATTTCAATAATCCAGCTGAATTGCTGCAGTATGATGGAAGATCTTTTATTAGATTTATAGTCTGCATTTTTCCTTGAGGATCATAAAGTAGCATATCCTGGAATCCTATATCCTGTTTTTCCTCTTACAACAGCCTTGGAGTTTGGTTGGGCTTGGAAGGAATGATTGGTACAACTTAGGTATCTAGCACTTTGATCTACTATCTGCTTTAAACAAAAAGCTGAGGTAATGGCAAGGTTATCCCAGTCCAACAAAGGAGTGTTGTGGGAATCCTTGCAGGTTTTGTTTTACTTCTCTTCTTGCTATTGTATATATAGCTTATAACTTGCAAAGGACTGCTTTTGATTATTTTGAATATTTATGTACTAACTGTGGGAAAACTGAATATTTTTCCATCACAGGATCTTTATTTGGTTGTGGTTTGATTGTAATACTTGTTAAAATTACTGTATTTGAATCACTGTACTTGCTGTCACATTTATCCATTATCCAATTTTTTCTGCTGCGAATGGCCACTCTTCTTTCTCTTGCACACAAGAAGGATGCCAATAGGAAACGCTAGGCTAACAACACCTGTTGTTCAGTTGTGGGAGGGCCAAGCTTAGCACTGTAGAGAAGTGGAACCAGATTCAAGAAGTGATGGTCATTGGGTCAGTCATTGTTTCTCAGCCTAACGTGCCTACTTAATAGGATGGTTAGGAAGAAAAGGTGGTAAAGAGGCAATCACTTGTAGGTAAAGGAAGGTTTATTTTAAAGTGAAATAAATATGACAACCTATTCCAACACAAGGACAGTGCAGAAAGCAACCCCTCATAGCGTCATTTGATTCCAAATTACCATAAATAAAGCAATATCATATTCAAATGGGCACACAGATATTTTGTTTATAACAGAATAACAGAGTTGGGAGGGAACTTGGACTTCTGACCTTCTAAAAGGCTAGTCCAAGCCCCTGCTCAAACAGGAGACCCTATACCATTCCAGACAAGTGGCTGTCCAGTCTCTTCTTAAAAACCTCCAGGGATGGAACATCCACAACTTCTGAAGGTACACTGTTCCACTGGTTAATTGTTCTCACTGTTAAATTTCTCCTTAGTTCTAGGTTGCTTCTCAATTAGTTTCTATCCATTTTGCTTGTCTTGCCATCTGGTGCTTTGGAAAACAGGTTGACCCCCTCTTCTTTGTGTCAGCCCCTCACATATTGGAACTGCTATCATGTCACTCCCTAGACCTTCTTTTCATCACTAGACTAGACAATTCCTGCAACTGTTTTTCACGTGTTTTTGCCTCCAGCCCCATAATCATCTTCGTTGCTCCTCTCTGCACTTTTTTCAGAGTCTCAACATCTTCTTTATAGTATGATTTATGATGTGTATAGCACCAGCAATACGCATGGTGGTACAAGAAGAGGTGCTTCTGCCTTGGGAAGCATAGCATGCAGTATTTGATACAGAGAAAACCACAAAGAATATGTAAGAGAAGGCGGCATGTTAAGCAGCAATATAAGATTGTTGACAATTGCACCTACTAAGGCATCAAAAACTATCAAGCTTAGAATAATTATGCAAACTTTAAAACTAAAACAGACCCACATTTAATGCATAGAAAATGAGCAATACTTCATTAGATATTCTTATTCTGTTTAACAGTAATGACTGATGTTGAAATCTTCTAAGCTATTTCAGTGAGGATTGTCATTCCAGCATTAAACTGGTTGAGCAGGATTGATATGCCTGCTGTTCTTTGTAGAATCTTTAGTAGGTCAAAAGGTACCACCTGCTAACGTCGGATGTTTATTTACATTATTGTAACTCATACTAAATGTGAAGCGATGTTAGAAGTGAGTAATTTAACTTGGCAAAGGAAGCGCTGCTTTCTTTCTCTCACAATTCTACCTTCAATTTTATTTAAAACTTTTTCCTTCCCTGATGATGTGCATGTGAATATATGTATTAGTGGTGGTGTTATCTGCCCCAAGTGTACTTGTTAAATGATGCCCACTTGAACATGTAATCTTATTAACACCAACTTTACACACAGCAAAATTTGATCAACATATAAATTTATGTAAAAAAACATTTTTAAATATGTTTTTTAAAAGTCTTTAAGATGAACATAAAGCCTTTTCTGCTTTTGTCTGTCTGTTATAGCAAATAACTGTGATTCCCGAGGACATTTTCTAGGATGTGCTCACACAAGGGATTAATCCAAACAGCAGTTTACTGAATTAACCCTGAACCATAAAGTACCCAACCACATTTTAGCCTAAGGTGTTCTGTGTACCCTGTATTATACAATCTTCTGCAAATGCTGGTACAACACGATCATTTCAGTGTCCAGATAATGTTATCTTCCACTTGCAATCTTGTCTTTTCCTGCCACTTTTAATGTTTAGTCTTATTTTAAAAGGGGAGAAAATTAGAATTGTCCCCTGTCTTTTTATTTGCTAGGTATTGCCCTAGGAATAGGGCAAGGGAGGAACTGATTTCTCGGTGCCATTATAGAGAACATAAAGGAAGATGTAAATCAGGGCTATTCTTTTTAGCTGATAGCTGAATTACCATGGAAAAAAGGCTTGAGGGTCTGACTCTCCTACCCAGTTAAAATCAGCAGTTTTATAAAAGGGATGGGTTTTTTTTTTAATCTCCCTATTGTAAAAAGTATTTTTCTTTCCATGACAGTTAGCAGTTTGGATGTTGTAGTAACTCCTCCTCAGTGATGCTACTCCCTGTTCCATAACTATCACTTTTTTTCCAAAGGAAAAACACTTTTGACAGTGGCTGAGGCAAGAAAAGCTCTTTTACAAACACACCCACTTGAAAATCAAGGGAGTGATCTCACCAGAGTATCCTCGGAGTTTTTCAGTAGGACTTGAAAGGAATTCCCGCAGGGTTTTTTCCTTGCTATGGGAAAGTGCGAGGCAAAATCTGGAGGGCATCGGGGTGGGGAAGGCAACTTAAATTCCCAAAGGTAAGGCTGAGGCTCTGTCCAAAAGGAATGAAACTAGGCACTGAAAGAACCTAACATTGTCTTCTTCACTGTGAAAGCCCTGTTGTGAGAAACAGAGAAGGTCATCTACATGAGAAGTTTGCAGGTACTAAGGTCTAATTCTGCGTCTCCTTCAATTGCAGGTGCACTGAGCCTCTTGTCTGCCTAGCATGACTGTTACATATACAGCTCGGGTGGCCAATGCCCGCTTTGGAGGCTTCTACAAGCTGCTGAGCCTGTGGCGTGGGAGCATCTATAAGCTGCTGTACAAGGAGTTCCTGGTCTTCTCGGTTTCCTATCTGGGACTAAGCCTTACATATCGGTAAATCAGGATGTCAGTAGGCATCCTTTCCCTCCTCTTGTCTCAGAACAGCCCAAGAACTTTGGGCTGTCATTAATATTCCACCCACATGCTCAGGTTTTATGAAATTCCTTTTTCAATTGGAAGAATTACTACAGGTGGTTCTCGGCTTATGACTACAATTGAGCCTGAAATTTATGCGGCTAAGCGAGACATTGGTTAAGTGAGTTTAGCCCCATTTTACGACTTTTCTTGCCATAGTTATTAAGGGATTCATTCAGTGGTGGGATTCAAAATGTTTTATTTATTTATTTATTTATTTGATTTGTCAATCGCTTACAAGGTAATAGATATGTGTATAAACATGAGTAAGAATACAGGAAATAGGTATGAATAAATGGGGACAATAGGACAGGGACGGTCGGCACGATGGTGGTGGGCCTAGCTTGGTGGGTGTGCTTGGCGCACACGCACACACTTTGCATGCATGCGTGTGCCAAATGCGCACTTTGTACAGTTGTAGAGGCATTTGCGCAGGTGCAGAGGCGTTCCAACTCACCACCTGCAAGCCTGCACTCTCCCGGTTGCTTCAGCAGCTGCCACGCGGCACTCTTCTGTGCTGCGCAAAGCAGATGCACTTCAAAAACAGGATAAAGGTAAGTATGGGAGCCTGGGCAGGTGGGTGGGACCAACAGCAGTGTAGTGAACCAGTTTGGTCTCCGTTGCTCATCGCCGCTACCGGCTCGGCAGAACCGGGCCAAACTGGTAGAATACCACCACTGGAATCATTGCAGCTGTTAAGTTGCTGGTTGTTAAGTTAGTCTGGCTTCCCCCTATTGACTTTCCCTTGTCAGAAGGTCACAAAAGGGGATCACAGGACCCGGGGACACTGCAACCGTCGGTTGAACCAGGTTATTAAATCATCCAAATTTTGATCACATGACCAAGGGGAGGCTGCCATGGTTGTGTGAAAAATGGTCCTAAGTCACCTTTTTCAGTGCCATTGTAACTTCAAACAGTCACTAAATGAAGTGTTGTAAGTTGAGGACTACCTGTATATCATATCATATATACTAAATTTACAAGGACATTGTTGCTTCTGGAAAGCGTATTTTGGCATGAGCACATATATTGTTAAAATAATTCTCGTATAACTTTGCTATGTAACTTTGGCTCAGTTACTGGCCCAGTTGTAAAATAAAATAAGTGATGAGGCTACATGTAAATAAGGTGTTGCCCCTTTTCAACAACAGCGTAATTAACCTGGTTCATGTAATTATGTGTGTCGGTTATAGCCTATTTAAGCAGAAGAGATTTCACTTTCTCCTATTTGGGGCACTGGGTGAATATGTCTGTATTTCTCTTCCTGGTTGAGCTGTATTAAGGTTGAAATGTGAATAAGCCAAATGTAGATAATTAATGTGTGAAAGCAGTCTCTCTTGACGTCTTACAGTGGATGCATGGTTCCTTCAATTATCCCAATTTTCAATCTAGCCACTGCCAAATAATTTTCAATCCACCCATGGAAGCCAGCCACTGCCAAATAATAATTTTGTTTAATCTTGCTTTTCTTCTTTCTGTTTCTAGGTATTTCTTAAAAGAAGATCAGAAACGGGTCTTCGAAAAGGTGGTCATTTATTGCAACAAGTATGCCAATCTCATCCCTATCTCCTTTGTTTTGGGTGAGATGCTTGATTTCCCAACCTCCCCCTTCTTGCTATTTCCATTCCAAACCTTTCCCTACTCCTCATCTGCCCTCAAGGATAATGGGCAAAATGCAGTGATTTTTTAAAAAAACATATGAATCTCTCCAACTCTCTTGTTTTCGGCTCAGATATGAACCTCCCTCCTTCATTTCCCCATTCTGTGAAGGGAATGGCACAAATAAAGGATGCTGGTTACAAAACAAATTACAAATTGTCAATTGTTTCCAAAAAAGCAAAAAGTAAAACCTCGAAGCCAAGATATTGGAATTTCCTTAATTCCAAAATCTTGGCCTTTGCTCAATATTCAGAGAAAAACACAGGACGTCAGACATTAGCAATGACGAATATGGGTTCTTGTGGAATTATAATATTATAATTAGCTTCCTAATGAGCAACAGGGGTAAAAAAAAATAGAAATAAAAACTTTGAAAGGGATGGGGTCAAGAAGTAAAAGCTGAGAATGGTAAGTGGGCATGAAATGCTGAACTGACTATTGAAAAGAGAAATAAGCAATATGGAATACAAATAAAATGCAGTGATTAAAAAACTGAATAAAAACACTTCATACATTTTTTTTATACACATTTGTTGTAATCCACTGTTTACATGTTTACTCATGGCTGAGTTTTGGCTTTCAGGACCTGTTTTGGGTTTTATAACAAAATAATCCTACCTCCAATGACATTTGGATTGTGGAAGTCACATTCTAATGTAGTTTGGGAAGAAAGGCAGAATATAGTTTTAATAAATGAATAAATAACTTTATCTCTCTTGGATTCACTCAGGCTTCTATGTAACGCTGGTAGTAAACCGCTGGTGGAGCCAGTACACCAGCATGCCAATGCCAGATCGCTTGATGTGTGCCATCTCTGGAAATGTCCATGGTGTAGATGAGAAGGGACGGCTTTACCGACGGACACTCATGCGCTATTGCAGTCTGTCAGCAGTCTTGATCTTGCGCTCAGTCAGCATTGCTGTATTCAAGCGCTTTCCCACCATGGATCATGTGGTGGAAGCAGGTAAATGAGATACTAGAGGGACATCATTTTGTTGACTTTTGAAGTGATTACATGGGAACATTCTAAAAAAAGAATGTAGAAAGTCAAAGTAAGCACTATTTAGGACATCCTTTAATTTGGAAGGTGCTGCCTGTAAATGCCATTGTGATGCACTGTTTTCAGCTTTACCCAGTCTGGTACAATCCAGATATATTGGGCTACATGGCCAGTAACCATAATCGGTAGAGCCAATGGAGACAATAATATTATAGACCAACACATCCTGAATACCTTAGGCTATGAAAGTCTGCATAAGAATGTGCTATTGTGTCTCCTAATGAATTCCACCAATTGCACGAGTGGCATTGTATTCTAAACACCTGCTTCTTTGCATCTGCTTCAAGGATTCATGACTCGTGAAGAACGCAAGAAATTTGAAAATCTCAACTCTTCCTACAATCGATACTGGGTCCCTTGCATTTGGTTTACCAACTTAGCTGCACAGGCACGTAAAGAAGGCCGCATACGTGACAACTGTGCTCTCAAGTTGCTCATGGAGGTGAGGCTGGAAATCCTAGCATTTGAATTATAAACTTAAACTAGTTTAATAGTTATTTCCACTTCCCAGAAACTTCTAGTTTCTGACGTTTCAACATTTCTGAGCACTTTCTCAGCCATCCATAATGCTTAAAAATCTATAACAGTAGAGACCTGGCATTTTAGAATAATTGCATCAGTTCCTTTCAAGATGGCCAGCAGCAAAGAATTGTTGGAATTGTAGTCCCAAAACATCTAGAGAGCACCAGGCTGTCTGATTCTGTTCTATAGATTTAGTGTTGCAAAACTGGGTCAGGAGAGCTTTTCTTTGAGATGCATGAATACCTATCATTGAGCCATGATCACCACCTCTCATCCTAGCCATCATTTGTTTTGTCTCAAATGGGGAGAGTGATATCCAAAGTAAAATATAAAGGTTTGTGTGGAACAAATATTGGATTTTGTATCCAGGTTCCAATTAGTTTTTAAATGAACCGAAAGCTAGGAAGACTACCGTATTTGCCGGTGTATAAGACGACTGGGCGTATAAGACGAGCCCCCAACATTTCCACTCAAAATATAGAGTTTGTTATATACTCGCCGTATAAGACGACCCCCCCCCCCACTTGGAGGCATGCAAGTGAAAGTGACGCGCCTGCTCCCTCCCCCCCCCAGGGGAAAATGAAAGGCCTCCTCCCTTAAGCAGCCCCTGGACTCCAAGGGTGGGGGACGGACAGCTGCCATCTCTCTCTCTCTCTCTCTCTCTCTCTCTCTCTCTCTGTGTGTGTGTGTGTGTGTGTGTGTGTGTGGTGTGGAGGGTAATTCTGGCTATCTCTGGCCTCCGCTCGGTTTTAAAGTCGCTTGGCCGGTTCCCAAGTCGCAAGCGCGCGCTGGCCGGGAGACGCGGCGCTGGGTGGCAGCTCGGTGCCGGGGAGGCGGATCTTTCTCTCTTAAGCGGGGAGGGGACAAGAGGAGGGACGGGATGGGACGGGGCTGGAGGAGGTCCCTCGCCTTCTTCCACCGCCCACAGGACCCTTTTCTTCCCAAGGGGGACCCTGGAAAGCAGCTCGGGAGCCGGGTGGCCCTGCCCAGCGGGGTCCCATCAGGAACTTCCCGAGGACACCACCCCGCCCCAAGCACAGCCCTCCCAGTCTTTCAAAGAGGGAGGGAGAAGCGGGAGGAGCAAATTGCCGGCCCTGCCCCGCTGCCCAGAAGGAGGGGCGCCACAGTCCACCCCCACCACCTTCTCCCCCCCACTCCCCGGGCCATTACGTGGCTCGGGGCTGGCTGGGCGAAGCGGCCCCGCCAGAGACCCTCCCGCTCCACCCCCACCCCACCTCCAGATTGGCCTCCGCAAGCGCCCTGAGTCGGGCGGAGGGTGGGTGGGTGGGTGGGGGAGGAGGAAGAGAGACTCCGGCTGGGCTTGAAGGGGCTTCGCAAGTTGCGGAGCTCCGCCCCCGTCGCTCTTGCACCGAGTGACATCAACGTATTTGCCGGCGTATAAGACAACCCCCCCCACTTGGAGGCATGTTTTTCAGGGCAAAAATGTCGTCTTATACGCCGGCAAATACGGTATTTATTGTAAATTCCAAGGCTATATGATCTTAGTACTTGGGAAAACTATAGATTATAAAAAGGTAACTATGTAACAACCTTGAAAACAATGCACTAATTAGCAGAAATTATGAATTTGTTAAAATTACTCCTGTAATATTTAATCTTTATTACATCTTCCTTATTGGATTGTGATAGTGCTATGGATATAATTTGCTTATATCCATATAAATATCCAAATAAGTATTTGAATAAAGACTCAAAGCTAGGTTCTCTCTTGACCGCTTGCTGGCAATTTACCAACTTCTACGATGTAACTACCATGAGACTACTGAACAGTACCTTAACACTACTTTCCAGAGCTAGGTGATGCAACTATTGAAGCACCAAATATCCAAGTTGGAAGATACTATATATGGCCAATTTTATGAGAAGTCTAGGAGAATAAGCAGAAACACATTTCTCTGCCTCAATCCAGAACAAGTCACTTTCACTGATTGATTTGAGTAAAACTATTCATATACTTGAAGGCATTGTGGAAAGCCATATGTAATTGTAGAATTGTAGAAAGATCTCATGCCTCACACAAGCAATGACGATTGCATTCTCTATTGAGGTAATTCCCCGTTAGGAGAATGAGTGCATACAGGGAGACTTATAGAGAGTAGTGATGGAATAATACACACAGAGCACACAGATACACTGTACAGTAAATGTAGGTTTTTACTTCCAGAAAGGTTTAAGCAAAGTCCAAAATAAGCAATCCAAAGTCATTCACAAGTAAATCAGTCAGTTTTCAATCCAGGGATAATCCAAATATCAAAGTCCAGTGTCAAAAAACAGTTCAGTAACAGACTTACATTAAATCCAGTAATATCAGTCAATTAGAAGAAATGGAGGAACGCAATACTTTCCAACAGAAGGAAACAGACACACACTCTTCTGAGATTAAGACTAAAACAACACAGGTTTCTGGCTCCATCTTATGGCCTTTTGAGAAACCACACCCAACTACGGTTTTGCATTTTCTTAAAGATACAGTTTTAAAATGTTTATCCTGGTTTATATATTTCTAACCCAAATAGCTGTTAGGTGACTCATATTCCTAACATTCTCCCTCCAGGAACTGAATCACTTTCGTGGCAACTGCAGCATGCTTTACCACTATGACTGGATCAGTGTACCATTAGTATACACTCAGGTAAGCTGCCAGATTCTGAATACACAAATGTTATTTCACTGGTGAATGTTTAAGCATATCCTATTGTTGGCTTTTCTGGTTTGTGTGTTCTTTTTCTCTTGTTTAAGGCAGATTAAAGGATTATGATCAGACTTAACAGAAAATTGGCGATGGGAAGGTTTATCATCTCTTACATCTAGCAATTCTGTTTTGTGGCTCTCTAAATTATCACACATCTGTACCTTATGCAACCAGTTATTTATCCAGGTTTCAGAGAGCAGTTAGAAAGAACTTTCTTATAGAGTAAATGCAAGGGATTGTATTTTTATGAAAAATCAGTGGATGGCAGAAAAATAATTAAGCTTATCTTCTACTCCCTCTTTCCTAATGCTCTCATGATATATTGGGACCAGAATGGTGACAATTCCCATTATATATGGTCATCGGTTGGAAATTCTGGGAATTGTAGTCTATATCTGGGAAAACAGCATCAGGCTATCTTCAGCAATGTATACTATCAAAGCTTACCATCAGATTAATGAACAATAGAATTGTTCTGCAGAATTGTTCCACACAAATAGATTTTGTACATAGCATTGAGGTTTAATTATACCCAACAGCTATACCCAAAAGTGTTTGTAAATGATTCTGTATCATTCTGAAGGGAAGTATTAAGTGGCATCCCCAAAACTCTGTCATCAGCAAAAATGTGATTTGAAGAATACGGTAGAAAGGATGCTTGTAAATTTTGCAAATGACAACAAGCTAAAATGATTGGCTAATATCTTACAGTACAAAATGACAAAAATGACATCAACAGACAGAGTGATGCACAACTGTGATAACGAGGGTAGGGAAAACTATATTTTGGATATAGGACTGGAGAAAGTCAAATTGACAGAAAGAAGAATTTAGCTATAAGATACCCCAATGTGTCAACATGAACAGGTAATTTTTATATAGCAGCTAAAAAACCAATGTGCTATGCCCAAATCATAGTTCCCTTGTACCTGTGATGCTTAGATTGCATTTGTATTATTGTATTATTTGCATCTGTATTAAGAGCTGATACTGTGTACGTTAAAAGGGATATGGATAAACTGAAGCATATTCAGAAGGAAGTTACCTGGATGATAAAATGTCTAGGAAACAAGTCCCATGAACAACAGTTATTGGAGCCAGGAATAGTCAGTTGTAAAAGAGAAGCTCAAAGGGAACTAATTGGGATAATTGGGGGAATCCTGGTTGGAACAGAGGAATGAATGAATGGGGAGAATGCTTGGGGGAGAATTTCCTGGAGTCTTGGTTGCAACAGAGGGATGAACAGGGATGAACCTATGTCAGGTTCCAAGTAATAGATCTATTGCAAGCAAAAATTCTGAGGCAGGTATAGCTTTATTGGAAATAGTATATTGGCACATATCTGGTAAAAACTGACTCTGAAGGGTGCCTCGGTTTTCACCTAATTAAAAGTGAAAGTCCCCCCCCAAAAAATCCCAAACAGTCACATGGCCCAATCAAGGCAGCATCTGCTGGTCTGGGCACATACTGCTCCTTCCTCCCGCCAGGTGTGAGAATGTCCTTGGTTCCCAAGAGAAAGTCTTTTATTTTGCCTATGCAGTGCCAGCTATCTCTAATCCCCCCACCATTCCCCAGCTCTAGTGTGGCAGCACTGAAGCTCCAAGATGGCATCAGGTTGACAACCTGCAAGGACCCTTCTAACTCATACATCCTATGATGATAGTATTATTATTGTTTAATATATTACTGTATGTTCACATCAATGTCAAATCACAGCTGCTGATTCTTTAGCTGTGTTGGTTTTCATATGCATTAAGTTTTCCCCCAAAATCTAGGATCTTGTAACATATTATGTAATATATGTGTAAATCCAAGCAATGCGCAATTGACTAATGGAAATGTTGTCAACACACACATTCTCCAAGAATTTTTGGTTATGCTGATAACCACTGGGATCATCAAAGTCGGTTTCAATTTTAATGTTCAGACCTTGATTCTTTGGGATCTTTTCCAATTCTTTTTCTTCCATTCTACTACCCCCTGATATTGCCATATCAGTTATCCACACATTCTTTTCTTCTTTTCAACCATAGTTATATCTGGTGGGTTATGAGCTGAGACTCTGAATTTGGAAATCCCACAGTATTTTAACCTGCCCATTTTTACTACTATTTCAACTCTATGTTCCCACCCATTTTTCATTATTGGTACATGGTAATTTTTATAGAAGCTCCAGGAATCATTTTCATGAATATGTTATATTGTATTTATAATCAGTTTGTGTGATCTTGTATGAGCTGAGTATATGATCCACTGTTTCTTCTTCTTTGTACAATCTGCACTTCAAAGCATTTTGACAATTTTTCAGTTCTGGCCTTGATTTTATTAGTTCAAATAGTTTATTCTTGGGTAGCCAAAACCATTACCATTATTTCAAGCATAGTTAGTATGCTGCTGTTATTTTAAATATCGAACGCTTTAAATTCAGTCAATTTTGAATTGTGGATTATTGACACATTGATTACATATGTAACATAGTATATTTTTATTTTATTTTATTTGATGTTTATTTATTTTATTTAACTGCCTTAGTAAGCTTTTGCCTTGAAAGATAGTCTAAAACCAGCAAGCCACTAAAGCCACAGCTAAAGCAGAGTTGGGACATTTATTTTAGAACGTTTTAAAACTCTCATACTTTATGATCTGAAACAAGAAGCATGTCATGAATTCTATGGATAATATATATACTCTCCATCTGAGTACTTGGGTGCACAATAACTCTACCAGAGCGGAAGTTCCCTTAGGACTGACAATTCTCTCTCTGGTATGTTTATTGGGACACTTAATTTTGATCTCCTTACTGATTAATTACATCCAGCAACATCTTATCTACAGAGTTACAATGCTGTCCTTTACAACCTAGCAATCCAGGATATTTAGCTTACTCTAGAATAGCTGTACTAACTGTTTATTTGCAATCCTTACCTTAAGAAACATACTCAGGATGGTATAATTAATGGTATCTAAATTAGTTATCAGTGCCTTTCTGCATACATTATTGGTGAATAACAAGTGGGAAAAACTTTACTGTTCTATTTTTCAGTGTTACGTGAGATATATTCCTAATTTCCACTGGTTACTAAATAGGGAATAGTAAATTATCTTAGTTTTAAAATTATCGTGGAATTAAGTGCATAATCTGAAAATTAGAATCATCATAATTTCTTATATTAGCATTGACTTAAAAAGAGACTGAAATATGTTCTATTTCTTAGCAGTCCTAATTCTCTGAATGAAAGATGATTAAGCAAGTTGCATCCTAAGTAATTATTCTAATTTAAAAAACCCTTTCATCTGAGCAAAGCTCTCCACCTTTTCATTTTCATTTTCTCTTTGCTCTGATAGGTGGTTACCATTGCTGTATATAGCTTCTTCGTTTCTTGTCTAATTGGAAGGCAGTTCCTCGATCCAGCCCAAAAATATGAAGGACATGATCTAGACCTGTGGATTCCTGTTTTCACCCTGCTTCAGTTTTTCTTCTACTTTGGATGGCTCAAGGTAGGACAGAATGGAGCTGGTTAATTTGCAGTGGTTGCTGGAACATTTCCTACATTGCTTTCCTCAAGCAGATCTTGCCCTGATGTGCCGAAGGAGAAATTCTTGTTTACGGAGATTCTCAATCATCCAGGTCATGGTTCTCCCAAAGATGCTTTTTCTCCAAAGGCACTTGGACTTTCTTGGTTATTTTTCTTGGAAAACATTTTGCTTCTCATCCAAGAAGCTTCTTCAATTCTTGGATGTTTCTTGGGTGAGAAGCGGAAGGAAAAAAACAAAAACAAAGTTCAGTTGCCTTTTGTAAAAAGCTCCTCTGGAACAACAGTTCTCATTATATCCAACTACTGTGGCTCCCAACCAGTCGTTTCACTATTAACCACTGTATTGAGAGTCAATATGGTTAATGGTAATCTTAGGAGGGAATGACTGGAATCCCTTACCTTGGAAAGCTGCTGGAAAGAATTGCTCAGGGCTAGGTCAGGGAATCTGATTTGGGGCAGAGTAAAAACAGCTAAGAGATTTAGCTTTCTTCCTCCATCTATTTGTATAATTGGCAGAAGATTGGGAGGCTCTGTACAAGGTTAGAAACAGAGACAGTCAGACGATTAATCTTTCCTCATTGTGGGTCTTTGCAGGTGGCTGAGCAACTCATCAACCCTTTTGGAGAGGATGATGATGATTTTGAAACCAATTTATTGATCGACAGGAACTTCCAGGTAACCCCCAACTGCTCCTCTTCTACTAAGGATTGGCAAAGCAATTGAGTGAAGCAAAGCAAATTCAGGGAAGATGAATTTTTCCATGATCCAATAGTTGTAAACCTCTCCCCTGCCCTACAGCTGAGATTCTCATCCCTCCCTACCCCAGTACATACATATCCTACATACACATTGACCAACAGACAGGCAAACACCAATACTGTCTGACTGCAAAAGGGATTCTTCACATTCGGTTTTCTTCTGAAGGTTTCCATGATGGCTGTGGATGAAATGTATGGGGATCTGCCTCTCCTGGAGAAGGATAGATATTGGGATGCCTCAAACCCACGAGCCCCCTATACGGCAGCTACAGTTTTTCTGTTGCAACAGCCATCATTCCAAGGCTCCACTTTTGATGTGACGTAAGGATTATATTTTTCTTTGTGCAGCGCAAAAATTAGTAATAATAATAAACGTTTAACTGGTAAAGGAACAAGGGGGAGCACAAGAGAATTAACCTTTGGGGTTTTCCTTATTTGGGATAAATCCCTAATCTTTTCCCAGTGTGCATGAAGCTCCCCATTGGTGAGACTGTAATTGTACAAGCATTGTGATTCTGCATTTCCCACTTGAGGGAAAGCCCTGTGACTTTCTAGTAAGGGAAGTATCTATGGATAGCGCAGAATGGCGGCGCAAATTCCTTCAACCGCTTGTCCTCACTTTCCAGACTGGCCAAAGAGGATATGCAGTTCCAGCCTCTGGAGGAGATTGCTGAGGGCCTTGAACAGAGCCGCCATGTGCCTGCCCACCTCTTGAACCGACTGCTCTCTACCGCTCCTACCTCAGGAGGTTTTGGACGCCGTCTCTCTCTGCTGAAGCGCAAGAACAGCTGTGTTTCAGAACCATCAACCACCTACAGCTGCCTTTGTCAGGATACGCAGGCCATTGGCTGCACGTGTACCCCATCTGCCAGCCAGCAGATGCGCAGTAACAGCATTCCTTTCATCCCTGAAGGAGACTCTGGCCACGATACCAGCAGCCCAGGAAAGGAAGCATACAGCGTTCTTCCTGAGTCTCACGTTGTTGAGCTGGGTGAACTTCCTCAGAACGTTTTGGGCCAGGAGAATGATACAGCTGCCCCCTATGATCCAGAGCCCCTTGTGGATACATCAGTTAATACAAATGTTTTGTCCTGGCCACTCCTAGAACATGACTCTTCAGATACTTCCTTCCTTCACAACCCAAAGGAAGTGCCCAGCAAGGGGAGCAGCTATCCTCCATGGCTGCAGAGCCCCATTGAGGAAGAAAATACAGCATGAGCCAGTTATTGCGTATCCACAGGTGAGATGGAGTTATTGCCAGGGACATCTTGTTATGGTGATGTTATTGGAAGACCCTGAAAGGAGGGACCAGTAGAACCGAACACACTTTTGTAAAAACCACACCTTTGTAGCAGGGACTTGGGGGAATTTTAAGAGATTGTTATTCAGACAGTCAGTTTCATTAGCAAATACTCTGTTCCTACCAAAGAACATGCTAGTTTTAAACCTTGCTTTTAACTTAATAGACTACATATGAACATAGAGTAGGTATGAGTATCATGCTGCTTTGCAGTGTTGGTGAAATGTTTCTTATCCTTTTTTTCTCATCCAGATGAACTGAGAAGGAAAAAGCCATGAGGTGTAAATGAATTCTATGGCACCTTTTTCTTTCACAACCCTGTACTAGAGTCAACTGATTTAAAGATTATGCTTTTATGTTTTATTAAATGTTTGTTTGTAAAACATTGAGACTTTTGAATACTTTAAATCCTACTTTCATTCTTTGCACCTTTAACAAAGTAGTAACTTTATTCTGCCAAAAGTTTGCTGTTTTTAAATGTTATACTGGCCTCTGGAAAGCACAGGAAGAATGGCAGGGATGTAGTGTTTGTATTGTTCATGCCAGAGGCACTTTCATTACTTTAGCATCAGGTAATAACCTGCATAATTAGCAGGGTCTCCACCAGCCTTTAGAAGATTTACGTAAAATTTACTGAAGGAGGCAGGGAAAAATAGACTTTAAAGGGTCTCATTATAAACCTCTAATACAGTGGCCCAAGGACCAGGGCCTGGTTCCATGGAGAAAGGTTTTTCTGTGTACTGGAGGCGGGGGGGGGGGGGGGTGTGGTTTTGTTTGCTGCCTGCATCCCATGGCTGGGGCATCACTTGTTTGTGCAGCCCAGTTGCTGGCATGCCGTGGACCAGTGCCAGTCCATGGTTGGTTGTTGGGGATCCCTGCTCTAGTAGCCCTGGGACAATACAATTGTCAATAGATGCCTTATTCAAAAGTATAAGTATACTCATCAGGCACTGATGCTTTTCCTATTTTCACAAATTTAGCATTGTTTTTTTAAGAGATAAATGTTTAGGCATGATCAAACTCTATATATATTTAATTAAACTCTGGAATAGCAAGTACAATAAAAATTTATTTTAAGAACCCTTGAATTTTAAAACTATATCTTCATACTGGAGTACGTCATTTATATTCTGTTAGATTTTGCAGCAGAAATTCAAATCCAGAAAGCACACACAGATGACTGATTCAGCAGGATTCATTAACTTCTTTGTATATATAATAACATACCGTGTTTCAACAACAATACGGCCTCCACCAATAGGAAGACCCAGCATGTTTTCTAGGCATAAAATTAAATTAAGCCCCTCCCCCAAATTTAGGCCTAGTTTAAAACATGCAAAATAGGGGGAAGGGTGGGGGGACTTGCCATTTGGAGTGCCGTTGGAGCTGCCACCGCCGTTGGAGCTGCTGCCGCCATTTGGAGCTGCCTCTGCCGTTTGGAGCTGCCTCTGCCGTTTGGAGCCGCCGCCGCCATTTGAAGCTGCCGCTTCCGCGTTTGGAGTACTGCCGCTGTTTGGAGCACCACCGCCACTCCAAACA